GATCATAGAGAAGAAAGCAATTCATTCCTTCCACTGGCTGCCCTATGTTTTAATGAAAGGAATCTCTGCTTTTCCCTGGGCTTATGTTAACTTTCATCTACAGCAAACACAGGTGGAACCCCTAAAGTAAGAAATCTAAATATATCCTACTGAGGTTTGCTTTGATCTTACGAATTGTGACTTTTGTGGTCTTGTAGATGGGAAAAAATTTTTGCTTCATGCCATCAATTAAAAGTATTCGCTAAGCTGTTCATATAAAACAGACCAAAGCTTTTTGTAAAAATAAATAAATAAATAAATAAATGTTCAACTTCAGGTATTTTGGGTTGAGAAGAATAATGCTTTTGTCAGTTTTGTCAGAGTGCAATTTTCAGAAAGTTTATAACTCTTATACAAACACAGAATGAGCACGTGTCAGGGATTTATTTAACTCGTTAATGAGGGAGCCAGCAGAATGTAATGCTGCTTTGAAGGAAAACCAAAGGGTTGGGTTATACAGGCCTTCAGGAAAGGATGTTGCAGTGAGATGCTGGGTAGTTGGAGAACTGATCACTGCTTCAGCAGGATGGTAACACCTGGCTGAAGTCGTCTGCAGCTCCCTGGGCAGAGTTAAAATTAGCTTCCAAAGTCTGGGCCTTGAATCAATGGTAAAAAGCGTGTCAAACTCTGATCTAGACTCGCTGGATAATGAAATAATCCTGTGTGAGCTGTTTTTTGAAGTTCTCAATAGTTTTATTAGTGCACATTAATGACAAAGAACAGCAGGTTTCGTGTGTCGTGTTCTGATATGCATACAACATAATTTGGTCACTCCCATCCCCCATTACCCACTCCTGCCCACCTGTTTCCCTGGTCCCCTTCCTCTTCACTAATAATCTCCCTGATACATTCCTGGTGTCTTTTTACCCCCTAGATTCTACATATAAGGGAAAACATGAAATATTTGTCTTTCTGAATTTGGCTTATTCAGCTTAACATGATGATCTCCAGTTCCATCCATTTTGAGGCAAATAACTTGATTTTGTTGTTCTTTATGGCTGAATAATACTCCACTGTGTTTGTGTACCATATTTTCTTTATCCATTCATTTGTCAAGTTGGGCTGATTTCCTAATTTGTCTATTGTGAATTGTGTCTCAATAAACATGTAGGTTTCTCCATAGTATACTTTTTAATTTTTTTCAGATATATACTGAAAAGTGGTATAGCTAGATCACATGGTAGTTCTAATTTTAATTTATTTAGGAACCTAAATACTAACTTCCATAGTGGCTGCACCATTTTACATTCCCACCAGCAGAGTACAAGCATTCCTCCCACCCACATCCTTGCCAGCATTTATTGTTATTTGTATTCTTGATAGCTGTATTTCTGACCAGGGTGAGATGGATTCTCAGTTTAGTTTTGATTTGCATTTTCCTGATGGCTAAAAATGTTGAACGTTTTTTCTTATAATTATTGATCATTTGTACTACTTCTTTTGAAACATGTCTGTTCCTGCATGCGCTATTAAGGAATGTCCAGAACGACATTGAAAAAACATGCTTCCTCCCTGTACCTTGTTAAAGGTGTTATTAGGTTTTGGATAATTTTTCTTAATATCAATGAAAGGTGAGCTTTCATTGATATGATGTACCTAGAGCAGTCAGATTCATAGAGCATATAACAGCGGCTTCCAGGGGCTGGAGGGAGGAAAGAAAAATGAGTAATCGTTTATGGGGCACAGAGTTTCAGCTTTGCAAGAAAAATGAGGATTCTGTGGTGGAGGATGGTATTGTGACAGTATGAATGTGCTCAGGGCCACCGAGCTGTCTACTTAAAAATGATGATGATGGCTCATTTTATGTTTCATATGAATATTCATATTTTATGTTTCATAATCATCCTAATCATTTTTAAATTTTATATATGTATATCATCAGTTAAAGTATTTGTAGATGAGCTAACATTTAGGCATATGAAGAAAAAGTTATGATTCTTCATCATCCTGAGAGAACCAACTTAATAACCCTCTGTTTTTGTGAACTTGCTTTCCTTGGCATGATATAGCACCATGCTCTGGTTTTATGTATTGTTCTGATTTAGTTTTTTTTTTTTTTTTATTTAATGCCAGCTCCATAGACTAAACATGCCATAATTTATTCAACTATTGTTGCACTGATGTAAATTCAGGTTGGTTCCAATCTTTTTTTTTTCTTTTCTGCCAGTGCAAATACCATTTATAACAAAATTCTATGCAGAAGAACAAGGCTGAAGGGCAGGGTCTGCACAGTGACAGGTAGAAGGCAGAAGAGGAATGGGTCTGAGAAACATGTTATTGAGGGAATAGATTAGATTTAGTGGCCAGTTGAAAATATTGTTATAAGAATGGGAGAAAGGCTGCAGCTGCTGATTTATTGCAAGGAAACAGAAGTAGTAAAGCAGATTTTAAGGTGGGGTTTCAGGGGAGCTGAGAGGATAGGACCTTTTGGAAAATGCTGAGCTTGAGATGGGCTGTGCTGTGGGTGCAGCTGCACCTTGGGTCTGAAGCCTGCAGGAGACGTTTCAGACAGAGATCAGACTGATTTGAGAATCCTTTGCACAAAGTCTCAGCTAAAGTGGTGAGGTCTGTCCCCAAGAGGCCTTAAATTTTAGGAAAGGAGATAGTGTCCCTGGGGGTTACCTGTATATAGGGGCGTGGCTGCTGAGACTGAGCTGGAATGTTCAGAGATAAAGAGGAGGAAAGAACCTGAGATCGTGCCACCACTGTTCCAATCTTGGGAAAGTAAAAATGTTAAGTATCGTTCATGTATTGGCCACATGAACTTTCCCTCTCATTGCCTGTCACATGTGCCCATAAGGACTCAGACCCCTGTGAGTCTCTCTTGAAACGCTGGTTTCCTTGCTGTCCTAAACACCAGGAAAAAGCTGACATAGTTTGGTAAGCCAACTTGGGCCACTGCTTTGAAATCAAGGGAGAAGCCAAATCAAATCACAATGGGGTGAAGTTTGCATCTCTTGAGAGTTAAAAAGTCATTTTTTAAAATAAAAGTTCAGAAAAGCTAGGACTTAATAAAGAAGAGTTTCACAAAATCATGTGAACCAGAAAAGACGGCATGGAGAGAGACCCTAAGGAAGGCCCAGAGAAATTCCACTGCCTTCAACATTAGCTTTGAAACTGTCTCAACAATGTATGTTGGCATGAAGATGATCCTGTTGTCACCAGATCTTTTTATAAACAATCCATGAATTTTTGTACCCAGACTATATGTTTGGAGGAGAGAGTAAAGAGAGGGACTAGTGAATTAAAGATTTGAGAAGTAAACAATTTTGGAAGAGTAACCGAGTCATCAGAACTGCTAATGTCCCTGAGGAGGGAAACTGGTAGGGCCCTGCCAAGTTGGAGATAGGATTCAATTGTGTTCCCAGGCTGGGGACGTGGCTCAGTGATAGGGCACTTGCCTGGCATGTGCACAGTTTTCTGTGACACCGCTTTATGCCACTCATTGTTTCTTGTTTTTGGAGGAATTTGTGGTCAGAATGAGGCTAGTCCATCCTTGGGCTCCTGCAGCCCACTTGGTAAGGAAGGAGCAGGTGTGAGATCTGTGGGGCAGGAGGCGATGCTGGCAGGTTAGAGGAGGCAGCAGGTGGTGGACTAGCTGTTTTCCAGAGAATATGATCACAGTAGTATTTATAGTGTGGTTGGTTTCAGGCGTGGTGGACTCCAGCCATAATCTTGGGTTACTTAATTATAAATTGCAAAGAAAGTCATAGGGGTGGAGTGTTGGGCTAAACAAAGACAGATGAGTTCATAGTGTAAAGCTCATTTGTGGCTTCTGTGTCACCTTGAATATCTTTCAGAGTGCTAACCAAGGGTGGGGGAGGAGCTACTTCCATCAGAATCTGGGCTCTTCATTAATTCATCAGGTGCATTAATAAGTTTTGGGAACTAATCAGGGGGAACCCTGGAGGTGTTCTTGAAGCTCCTTTGGAAAGCATTTTAGTGACTGAACTCACCTTGTCCCCTCTCCACCTGAGTGCCCCTTCCAGGAATCATCAAGAATCCTGGGTTGTTTGCCTAAGAGCTTTAATTATACAGGAGTCACCTGAGCCTGGGGATCAAGAGGTGAAGGCCAGAGGTTCCCAGCTTTAGCTGTTACTTCTCAGTCTGCCAGTGGAAAATCCTTACTATCAAGGTTTTGCTTTAGGCTTTATTGGGGACAGGTTGTTGTGACCTGCTTGGATCTGGTCTGAACATGCAGACCGGCCCAAGTCCCTGGCATCCCAAGACCTGCTTGTTTGCATCAGCTCCAAATTTCACAGCTGTGCAGTTTTGAAAGAGATACCAAAATCCAGACACAAAGAAGCGTTCTCTTTTGTATGTACTAAGGTCACGAATGACAGTTTTATCCTAGACATGTCCCCTTTTCTTTCTTCTTTTGCCCATCCATTTTTGTCTCTCTCTTTCTAATACGTGAATAATCGGCTTATCCTATTTACTGCATAAAGAGAAAATTCAATGTCTCAATTTTTCATAGCTATGGGAAAGTATTTCCAGAGTGTGAAAAAGTAGCTATTGGAAATTTCAGTCACTGCTTTTGGTATAATGGGAACTTATTACTCAACTCAGTAACAATCTTGGCTCAAACCACGCAGTTGTGAGGGCAAGCAGTGGGCACCTTTCCTAATAGCACTGCCAGGGACACCTTTCTTCATATTTGAGACAACCTGAACCCAGCATATCTTTCCATCAAAGGCTGTTTGATCACCTCTAAATCTTAGACATGCCACGAAAGCGGTTGAGGCCCAGCCAGTGGATTTTACTTGTGTGAGATATTGCGTATCTCCCAAGGGGAGGGAGCAAGAGAGAAAGCAGAGCCCGGCAATAAATAGCTCTTTGTATCCGTCCCCTCCCCTAGCCCCAAACCATTGAAACCACAGTGAGCAACCAGCATTCAGTTGAAGGCCACTGATGCCAGCACTTGCCAGATGATGACCAGATGTGAACTTGTCTTTCTGCAGTGTGTGGCTGTGACCTGGCCCAAGGGGGCTTCTTCATAAAGAACGGGGAGTACCTCTGCACCCTGGACTACCAGCGGATGTACGGGACACGCTGCCATGGCTGTGGGGAGTTCGTGGAGGGCGAGGTGGTGACTGCCCTGGGCAAGACCTACCATCCCAACTGCTTTGCTTGTACAATCTGCAAGTAAGTGATTATCTGCCCAAGTCTACAGCTTCCTCCAACAGAGAGACACTGGTTTTAGCCATTCAAGCTTGGGATGGCTCTTTTGGTCTTGAGTAGCACTTAGTTTTTAAATGTCTCTTTTTTAATATTCTCTTCCTGTTGTATTTTCAATCTTAGTCAAAAATGTAATTTGGTTTGGTTTGGGAAACTTTATACATGATGTCCTCTACAAAGTAACACGACATGACTTTAAGTGGCTTGAAACCAAGACTTCAGGCAGCTCCAAACATTTAGAATAATGAAAATATTGGAGGAAATGGACAACTGCTTAGAAGGAAAAAGCTTATTTGGAAGTATATGTTCTTTCACACGTATGTTTGCATGTCTGGGTTTAAAATAGTCTCTTTATGGCTGATATTGGCAAACTATGGCCCACAGGCCAAATGAGGCCCAATGTCTGTTTTTGTAAATAAAGTTTTATTGGCACACAGCCACGCCCATTTGTTTGCATATCATCTGCAGCTGCTAAGGAGAGCTGTAGGCCTGTGACAGAGACCATGTGGTCCACAAAGCCTATAAGGACATTTAGAATCTTCTTTTAGGGAAAGGAGTTTGCCAACCCCTGCTGTCTAGGTATCTACCTTCCAAAGTTAAAACTTAACTGCACAAACCAGTTTGATTAAAATGATCAGTCTAAGAGAAGAAGGAAACTGTGAAATGTGAGTGGGAAATTTTGCTGTTGTGTTGTGAGGGAAACAGATCATAAAACTAAGATGGGTCTGACTCTCCTGACCAGGAGACTTGCTGACAAGGGGCAGCTACTGTGTGGGTCAGTTCCAGTTCAGTATTCCCATGTCCTCTGGCACCCAGCTCCCTCTCACTTGGCCTATCTGAAACTGCCATTCAGAGGTGGAGTTTTGTTTTGGTTTTCAGTGTTTCATGTTTCTAAGTCAGAGAGATGTCAACTCTGGAAGGGTAGATTTAATATTGCATAATCAACAAGATGATACATGACAGGTGAAATACTCTTAACAAAATTATTTAAGTAAGTTCATAGCAGTTAGCCCATTTCTTAATTACATATTTTAAAAATCATAATTAAGAAATTCTAGATTCATAATCTAATCATTTTCTGATTTAATCAAGAGTGAAACTCCATCCTGTCTCCTCCCTTTTCAGGCTGTGGCCCACAGCCTGGTCAAGGGTCCTGGGCTGACCATGGAGGAGACCCAGGTCCGAGCCCCTCTTCCTGGGTTGAGTTGAGATTTTTATGAATAGCTTTTCAAGGAAGTGGCCTCTGCTATAAAAGAAAGGGCTGTGCACTAGCTGAGAGAGATCCCCAAAGTCTGGCCAGTCACTGTAACTTCTGGATTGGATAGGGCTGGGATCTCTTTAAAAACATCAGTTTCTATCCTGCTTTTCTGCTAAGACACACATAACAAATAGTAGTTTCTGGAGGGTTCCCAATGTGAAGTTACCCAGCCCCCTTGGTCCGGGTAAACTCTGAGGGCCCTTCTGTTCTTGATCATGAGAGATCATGGTCTTAAAATTGGTGTACTGATGGCCAGACATTTACCAATCAGAGCCCTGTCCCTGGACATGTGAGGCAGCAGAGATGTTGCTGTTGCTACAGGTTGAGTATCTCTTATCCAAAATTCTTGGGAGTAGAAGTGTTTTGGACATCAGATTTTTTTTTTTTTTTTTTTTGGAACATTTATATAGGTGATATCTTGGGGACCTAAGTCGAAACATGGAATTCATTTTTCGTATGCACCTACACAACATAGCCTCAAGGTAATTTTATACAACACTTTTAGTGCACCTGCATTTTGACTGTGGCCACAGGAGGATAGCTGTGGAATTTTCCACCATGGCATTTTATTGGCACTCAAAAATGTTTCAGATTTTGGAACATTTCGGATTTGTGGATTTAGGTTGCTCAGCCTGTATTATAGGGCTGTGGCCACTGCTGCTTCTAGATGATGATAACTCTACCTGAATTGAGGCCTCCTTTGGGTTCACAAGTTGTGTTCATATAGAATTTAACTGAACCCTGTTAGAAATTCTGTGAAGTCAATTTGGAATTAATGACCCTACTTTTGAGTGACTGAGTCTCAGAGTTTAAGGGACTTTTGTAGGTTAACAGTTGAAGGCTAAAATTTGAACTCAGGTTTTCTTCCTCAAAATCCAGTTCTCCTCCTACTACAAACATTCATTCAAATAACAGAAGGAAGTGAGCCCATATGATCAGAGGATGTAGGGAGAGAGAAAAGTATTGGAAAGAGTGCTACAAGTTACAAAACTTCAAGTTCAGAAGCCTGGCCACACATTGAACACTGGTCTCTGGGTTGTGCCATAGAGGATTCATGTCTAAAAAAATAAAGTGTGGATGAGAAGGGGGCCTGGACTTGGGTGAGGTAAGAAAGGATCCTGGAGTGCAGGATGTAAAGGGGGCTTGTTCTGGGCATCTTGCGAGTGCTGGTCAACCCTGGAGAGTGGGCATTTCTCGACATGTTGAGCTACAGGTGCCTCGATTGCCTCTCCCCAGTCCTGGCCCTCCTCAGAGGCAGAAGAATCTGTGCTTGTTGAGTTGCTGTGTTGATGGGCCCTTAAGCCTCCTTACAGAATGGACTTGAGGCCTGTTCAGGTTTAACTTGTCAGTGTGAAGCCATAGACCCTCTGGCACCCACCAGAGCAGTGATTTTGCTTATTAAAGACAGAGTTAAGTGCTAAGTTGGTAGATGCCATCTGCACCTGTCTAGTCTCCATCACTGGTCAACCCAGGCAAGTCTCTTACCCTTTCTGGGGCTTATTCAGATGATGAAAAATGATAGCACCACAGCAGAGAGAGGGCCCCATCTCTTCTTAGGACTTTGAATAATATTTGAGGGTATACAAATATAAAGCCCATGCCAGGCATAGTGGCACACCTATAATCTCACCAGCTCAGGAGGCTGAGGCAGGAGGATTGCAAGTTCAAAGCCAGCCTCAGCATCTTGGCAAAGGCCCTAAGCAACTCAGTGAGACCCTGTCTCTCTATATAAAATATAGAAAAGTGCTGGGGATGTTGCTCAGTGGTTAAGTGCCCCTGGGTTCAATCTCAGGTACATATTTAAAAAAATACACACACACACACACACACACACACACATATTGCCCTTCTTGATTACTGGCACCAGACACATTTGTGGAGTTAAGACCAAGTTTACCTGTGCATATAGTCAATCACCAGCTGTTAGGTCACAGACAGGTGACTAAAAAGGGAGATAGCAGCCGAGAAAGTAAAAACTAATGTCAAGAAGCTCAGACTTGCTCTAAACAATTGCTTCTGACTCTGATTCATGATGTCTCGCTGTGAGTTTCACATTTCCTAATTGACAGGGTCACACATTTAAAAACTCATGTTGATGAAGATTGTTGGCCAATTGGCCAATTGCAAGTTAACAGAAATGGAAACTGTGTGTCATTTGTTAACTAATGACTTGTTTTTAAAGGCTGTCTCTTGGTGAACTGGGATGAGAAATGGTAACTGAAGAAGGTGGTATTTTGTGGCAATGTGCTATTATTGATGAATGTCTAATGTAAAAGGAAAGTGTCATTCTGAAAAGAAGCTACTATTAATTCTTAGACAGATATTTTCAGCCTGTCCTGTTTCTCTTGGCTTATAAAGAACTGGGTCCCCAGGACTGTGCAATACTCCGATGTCCAGGAAGGACAAAATCTAACTCAGCATAGTTATCACAGCACTCTGGGTGTGGTCCCATGGAACTGAAAGAGTTCATGCTTGGCCTATAACCAGTTCTGCTGGGGAGGGGCCCTGCACTTAGCTGGAATTCACGGTATTTAAAAGGTTTCTTGGTGAAGATTTTCCATTTGGAAATTTACTGTCCTGTGTGCCTGCTGGGTGACTTGTTGGGACATCCCTCCACTAAGGAGTGGAGGTAAATCATTCCGTTTTACTATCTAGTTGCCCATAAAAACCAGTGCCTTCTCTTTTCTACTCATAATGAGGTACATTTATTTGTTTGGACCATATCCAGCTGGCCGGCTTGGGCATGACTGCATTTCAGACATTTTTAGCTGATGCTCCTCCAGTAAATAAATTTGCACCAGAGGGCAAGTTGAAGATACAAGGAAGGGGAATGAAGTTTCTGAAGTAACCTTGAGGACTGTGTCTTTCTGTCTCTAGGCGCCCGTTTCCGCCTGGAGATCGAGTCACGTTCAATGGGAGAGACTGCCTTTGTCAACTGTGTGCACAGCCGATGTCTTCCAGCCCCAGTGAAGCCACCTGCTCCGGCAGTAAGTGCTCTGGTGATCTGATGGCAGGAACACCTCTGTAGCTCAAGGGTGAGGGTGGCTTGGGAAGGTTCCTCTCTTCTTGAGAACCCCTGTTAGCTAGAGCCACGACCAGTGCTTTCTGGGACATTTTCCATTGATAAACGTGATGTTTGGTGAAGGCTCCACTTAAATCCAGGCCGGGGGAAGCAGCTCCAGTACTTCACAAAGACATAAATAGAGTTGGACATCAAACTGTCGTTTTTGACAGTCCATGAAAGAGAAATAATCATAAAACCTTGCACTGGAAATGCCCATCATGGAGGTTGAGATGGGAGAACATTTGGTGGCGATGTGCTGGAATAGCTATCTCCACTCGCCTAAGGTACTGATGCAGCCATTTCTGCTTACTCTTTTTTTTTTTTTTAAAGAGAGAGAGAGAGAATTTTTTAATATTTATTTATTTATTTTTAGTTCTCGGCATACACAACATCTTTGTTTGTATGTGGTGCTGAGGATCGAACCCGGGCCGTACGCATGCCAGGCGAGCGCGCTACCGCTTGAGCCACATCCCCAGCCCTCTGCTTACTCTTCAATAACCTTTATTTACCTCGAAGACTCTGACATTTGTTCATCTGAGAACTTGCTCAGTACCTACAACATGTGTTCTCTGAATGGAGATACAGAGGAGCAAAACCACCCCTCCCAGCTCAGGAGGCCTGCTTGCTCCTGAGAGCACATAGACAAATGCATACACAAAATATCTAATATGTGACGAAAATGAAAGTAGAAAATTAAAGCAGAGTCAAGGGACAGCATTTCTAATGGCCAATCAGACAAGGCCTCTTTCAAAAGGCAGCACTCAGGGCTTTGAAGGAAGTGTGGGAAGAAGGTATTTGACATACATCAGGAGAGTCATCATTATTTATGACAAGGGCTTGTCTTACCTGTAAGGATCCAAGGAGAACCAGTTTTCCTCTCCCTTCCCCAATATGGTGGCACATTGTACTTTTCTTCTATTATATCCATCCGAAATAACACTGGGTAGATCAGTTAATAACTTTTGTAAGTCAATGTATTCTGAACTCTGGGTACCAAGTTAGGAAGCTCTACATCATCTCTTTCCCGGGGCATTAGGAGTCTTTGAGAAACCTGGAATAATCCTCCTTCAACTCTGTGAATCTTAATATATAAGAATGAGATAAGTCATTGCCACTCAGAGGAATTTTGTGCAATTCACAACAATGATTCCAAATCTTCCTATTAAAGTGGAAGACATATTCTTTTAAAAATAAGAATGTTCTTATCAAAGCATTTGCATGAGATTAGATCTTGACCATGGAAGGAAATCTATGTATTCCTTATTCGGGACACTACTGGATTCTGAGCATGTGATTTATGTGACCTGTGGATGAGTGACAGCAGCCTGGGCAGGACAATCACTACACAGCAAGGCAATACCCTGGCCCCTAGTGAGGTTTCAAGTCCTTTGCTTTTTACCCTGTCCTAAGCCCAAAGGAAGCAGTTAGCCCCAGGTTGTTGGGAAGGTGACCTGGGTGGAAATAGTCACCCCATTAATTAGGAGGGTTTACCATGAAAAATCATTACTAAAAACTTTGGAGGAATTCATCAGTCTAGTTAAGAAAAGGAGGTTTCTATGAGTCCTTGGATCTGACGACAGCCATAGCAGAGGGTCATGGCATACAGCCTGCAATAATAGGCATGGACGTGTCCTCAAAGTGTCCTTTGGTCCACTGTTTAGATAAGTGAGAAAATCAAGGCCCATGGATGTACTTGAGGTCACACAGCCGTACAAAGATGCGGTAGGGTCAGATGCAGTTCTTTGGGCCCCTAAATTTTAACTATTTTGTGTCATCTAATACTCCAAATTATTTGGTTTAGGAAACAGAAGCAGATTCTTTTTAAAGACTTTCAGTCATCTCAGGCTGTACGATTTGGAAGCATGTTCTCTACTCACAGCAACATCAGAATGATTATTCTAATTTTTATTAAAATTTTGGGTTACATTTATAATTTCCATTTTTGTTGTTGTTGTTGTTGTTGTGCTGGGGATTGAACCCAGGGCCTTGTGCATGCTAGGCAAGCACTCCAACAACTGAGCTATATCCCCAGCCCCTATAATTTCCATTTTTATGTGACACACATTTTATACACATAAAAATTAAAGTTAAGTAAAAAAAATGTAATCAATCTCAAATTCATTGTATTTTCAATACAATATTTAACCATTCTTGCTTCTGTGCCAATGGCTGGGCCCAATCCTATTTCTCCCTTTCCTTCCAGTGGGTGCATTCCTATGCAACTGCTTTGGGTCAGAACATTTTTATTTTTAAGAAGTACTTATCTATTTAGGTAAGTACTCAAAGCCATTTATAGGGTGTGTGGGTGTCTGTGAAGAAGAGAGCTCTTATATATGGATCCACACATGCAAAATGCCCCAGCGAGCCAGGCAGGCACACACATACTACAGCAACGGGAATTTGCAGCAAGTTTCTGAAATTCCTTGGCGCATATTAGAAAGCATTTGGTTGTTATTTGTGGTTCTCCAAGAATTACCCTATGCTTCCAAACCTACTCTGGTGTGACTTCAGTTCCTACTTTTAAAAAAAAAAAAAAAAGACTTTTGGTCTGGGGCTGTAGCTCAGTGATGGAGCGCTTTGCCTGGCACGTGTGAGGCTCTGGGTTCAACCCAAGCACCATATAAAAATAAATAAATAAATAAAATAAAGGTGTCCATCTACAACTAAAAAAAATAGTTTTTTAAAAAATCAAATGACTTTTTAAACTTGGCAAAGGGCTTCCTACACAGAAGCAGAAAAACTGACCATATTTTTTTTAGTGTAAAACTCTTTTTGTGATAATGTTCACAGAGTCCATGAAATACATCAAAGGGATAAGAAAAGGGCCGAGATCCTCTTTTCCCTTTAAAATATTCTCTTTGGAAGTGAGTCTGCTCTTCTGAACCAGAATTATTCCATGTTATGTGGCCGGTTTCCCATAGTCACAGGATGTGAGGCAAAAACTACGAGAGGGGACAGAAGCGGGGCAGGGTGGGAAGCAGAAGCTGGGGCGGAGGCTGGGAGGAGAATTTGCACAAGATACTCTCCCTGTGAGCTTGCTGGAAAAAGCTCCCTCTTTGGCTGCTCGGTGGCCGCCATGTCTGTGTTGGTCTGTTTTAAGAAGACCACCCTGTGGAGGCCTCCTCAAAAAATTCTCCTAACATTTACCTCATGGTGTGCCAGCACTGTAGCACCAGTTTACACTATCAACTCATTTAATCCTCTCACACCCCTATAGGTTGGTACTAACTGTGCCTGTTCACAGATGAAGAAACAAAAGGTCATGGAGGTCAAGTAGTTTGTCCAAGGTCACATGGGCCCACACCCTAGCCATCTGGCTCCAGATGTCAGGCTCCCTCCCTGATGCTTATTTTACCATGTGGATGTCACTCTCTGATTCTCAAAGACGGGTGCTGAGCCTCAGAGCAGACCTGATGGGTGTGTAGATGGTCTGAGTGTCCTGACCCCAAGGCTGTGTGTACTTTTCTACCTGTTGTCTCCCTGTTGTGTCAAAGTTGGTAAAAAGAAGCCCTCGGGAGGTTATTCCTTGAAACAAGTTGATTCAATAAAAGATTATTGCCACAGATTAGTTTAAATGGTTGCTGCATCCAGCCCAATGCAATTCGATTCCATAAGCAACTGATGTGATCTCAAATGGAGGTGGTAGTGAAAGGTACCTCCTAGGGTTGTGGGGAGCATTAACTTTCTAGCTGATTCATACTGTTTAAAAAATATGCACAGAAGACATTACACTCTACCAGAAAGTCAAGTACAGTCCTCTGCAAATTAATTCTACCTCATTTTGGTGTATTTTCCTGTACCTGAGGGACTGGATTCCCACAGGCTAAGGAGCAGCACAAACCTGTGTGGCACCCTAGTGCATATGGAATCGGGCTTGAATTGTCATTTCCTCCATGGCTCCTGTCTATTTCAGGCACCTGAGCAGGAGTAGGCTGCTGTCTATGATCACCCTTTCCCTTTCCAAGGGTGTCTGACTAGCGTCTGATTGTGTGTGGGTTTGACGATTAACAGGGTGAACACCCCCACACAAATACATCCAAGCCTGTCTTTCTCCCTTGTCTCCTCTACACAGACCTCCATATATAGCATCATCATTATTCTGACTGCAGTTGGATCTCCCACAGGTATCAGGGCAACGGTGTAGTTGGACCAAATTTAAATCATTTCAGATAAAGAGTCACGTGCGTGTTTTCAAACAGGAGGAAGACATTTTCAATCATTTCACTTTTCTGTTTGGTGTACCAGCTCTTCCCAGTTGTAAGATAATTTTCATTTATCTGTAAATGAAACATCTCTCTCAAAACATCATTTTCAAGTTGAGTGGGAACTGTCTGCTGAAGCACCTAACCATAGGTGCAGTGAGGAAGCTCCCCCCTGGGCCAGATCCTAGCTTTCCCACTCACTAGCAGTGTCTACCTCTGTCCTCCTTTTTCTCATCTGTAAAATGGGATGGTCATAGGCACCTGCCTTGTACAATGAAGTGAGTAAATGCATCGAAGTGCTGGTCACTTACAGCTTAACAATACTAACAGTGACCTATTATTGAGGCATTGATTCCCTAATGTTTGTGACAGTCCCAGTCCCCACTTTTTGCACAACTGCTTTTTTCCTTTGCTGTTCATGATAGCTGCCTTTTAAAAACCAGTGGAGTCAGGAATGTATCCACACTTGAAGCCCATGGATTGCTGGAGTTTTGCTCGTGGTAATGGGTTTTATAGCTGGATCCCCAAAAAGAGATCTTCCCTTGTGGATATTAAGGAATGAAATGCTTCAAAGATTCAGGGCACATTGTCAGCACAGGTTAGTGTTCGTTGTTATTCTTTAAGGAAGTGGTGAGGGGAGAACCTAAGCTTAGACTCAGGGGCAGGGCCTGAGGGTTGAGGAAGTGGTTCACATTCCACACCTGCCTCACATCCTGGTCAG